GTGGGTTCAAAACGCTGACCTTTCAGATTGCAACCCAGCGTGTAACCCACTGCACCACCAGGGCTCTGATAGATAATAGGCAAATGTATTGTTAAGCGAAAAGACAATACAGCTATAACTGGACTCATTTTTCAAAATGTGCAATTGCTGAATTATTGTCCTTTATTAATTGAAGTCAGAATTTGGTGTTCTTTCTATTTTCTTTTTCATTCATGGTCCTCTAGAAAATGTTGTATCAGTTTTATAAGGCTTGTAAAGCGCTGGTCCTCTCATCAGCTCCCTTCCCTGACTTCTGAACTCCACAGTTCCTCTATTCCTGCGCCCAGCCCAACGGCTTTCCCTGTCGGCTGAGACCCAAGAGCTGCAGGGGATCATTTTGTCCTCAAATGGGGAGACGGTTCACAAGAACACAGGGGTTTCCTGCTGGTCAGAGTTTGGCCAACAATGATTCCTTGTGTGCATTTTCATCTCATGCCTTTTCATGGTATTTTTCATGAAGAAAGAGAAAACACATTTTCTTTCAGGCAAAAGGAAGAGAGGCACATGTGCGTTGGCCTCAGAAAAGCTGAGCATCTACTATCTGAGGGTTCTGGGTAACTGAAAGCCTCCTGAGTAAATTTTAATGGGAACCCTGGTGGCATCATGGTGATGTGTTGAGCTGCTGAGATCCTCAAGGTCCAAAGTTCAAAAAAACCAGCCACTCCTTGGGAGAAAGATGGAGATTTCTACTCCTGGAAACACTTACAGCCTTGGAAACTCACAGGGTCAATTATACCCTGCCCTAGAGGGTCAGTATGGGTTGATATCAACTTGATGGTGTGAGTTTAGTTGTGGAGTTTGTGTAAATTTTAGAGATTATAAAAGAGGAATGGATATTCCTTTCCTTGATGACTCCCCTGATTCTTTATTCTGACTCCCTCTCACCTATATGCACGACATTTGCCTTCTTTCCTCCCTCCATTTACTACAAGCTTTCAGGAAGCATGAATCCTTTTTTGCGTATCAGCCCTTAGCACACCTGGCTGGCAAACAGCAAGTCTCTGATGTCTGTCTTAGGCTACCTTGTCCTTACATGCTCCAAGTCAGGGAACAGGTGGTATGCGTTATACTGCTAGTTTCTCCAGGAAGTAACTCAAAAACCAAGCTCATTTAAGACTGTCTTGTTTTTCTCGTGTGGAGTGGCTAGTGGTTTCAAACTGTTGACCTTGTGGTTAGTAGCCCACGATGTAACCACTAGGTCACAAGGGCTCCTTCCAAAGTAAAGAACTGCATTATCAGTGGTGTACAACCTGGGGACTTGTGTGTGACACTTTAAAGATGCATTGTAATGTACAGTTTTCTATAGAAAGATGATGGTTTTCTATACAAGTATGACTGAGGTGCTCCAGATGAGGATGTTGTGTATGTGGTGGTGGGGGTAGAATGAGGGTACTTGGGGAGGGCAGGAGGCTTTTTCACACCTCTTGCCCAGGCTGTGGTATAGCCACAGCTGTGTTTAGAGCTTTCTGTCTTCAATCACACTTGATATACGATACAGCCGGATTCTATGGAGAACACTGTGAGAGGTATTCAAGCCAGGAGACTTTGGTGCTAGTCTTGCCTTGACTGATTTCAGGAGTTTCTGGAAAGCCAACCTTTTGAGTGTCAGTTGCCTTAACATAAAAGTAGTAACTCCTGATTCTGGTTGGTTTTTATGGTGATGTACAGCAAATTATTTAACATGGCTCTTCTACTCATTGTCTTTGGCTTTCCCTTCAAAGGCCCCTTTTCTTGATTTGTTGGTAAGAGACACTGCAGAGAAGATGCTGATGGATTATAATATTCAACAGTAAACTATTAGTAAGGGTCATTGTGATTGCCATCTTGCTGTGTATAAATGAGCCATTGCAAACAGGAGGTTGTCGGTGGTGGTGGAATCTCAACAATAAAAGAGAAGACCCAGGAGTAGAGTGTCTTTTGGAGTCAAGATCCCAGTGCATTTAGCCTCCATAGGAGGAATAGAGCAGAATTATGACATCAGAGGAACAATGGCTTTAATATAGGTGAATATGCTTTATCAAGAGTAAGACACTGCACCATTTTATAACACTAGATGCCAGTCTCTGTTCTATAAGATCTGCAGGTAGCAACTTATCTGTTTTAATTTTCACAATGTGTTAGTGTGGGTTGACTAGAGAAATAAATCCAGAGACACTCATATATCTGTAAGAAGGAACTTTATATCAAAGAGTAATTGTATATTAAGAAAACATCCCAGCCCAGTCCAAATCAAGCCCATAAGTCTGATATTAGCCCATATGTCCAGTACCAGTCTATAAATTCCTCTTCAGACTCACGCAATCCATGCAATGATGCTGAAAGCAGGAAGATCACAGGCCAGTGGGTGGAAAGTCTTATGGAATCCTGAGGTAGTTAGTTTATTGTGCCAACCTGGCCAATTAAACACATGCGGAGTTAATTGAAGGGCGGAGGGATAAATGGCTCAGTGAGCCTCGCCTTTCAAGTTCTTGGGTCTATTGCTTTGTGATGGTCGGACCAGGGTGCAGCTGCCTTAGCCAGTTCCCTGCTTTAGCTGACAAGGCTCACTTCCTGCAAGACATCCCAAGGAGAAGCCACATGGACCTACCCCAATGCAGCCCTGGGTGCTGGAGTACCCGTGTGGAGACCCCTGCCAGCACTGAGATGTTTACACGTTCACTGACTCAGCTTTCCTCCCGCAGTCGGCATCATTGCGTCTGTTTTGTGAGATGGAGGAGGACTCTGTGGATTGGTGTCAGACATATGGGTTAATAGGTTAATATTGGACTTGTGGGCTTGGGCAGCACTGGGTTGGAATGTTTTCTTGATATGCACTCAACCTTTATATAAAACTCTCTCTTATACATGAGTTTCTGTGGATTTATTTTTCTAAAGTACCCAGACTGACACAAACCACCTGGTGGTAGAAGCACCTCAGTGCTGGTGTGGGTCTCCATGGGGCTCCTACAGCTCCAAGGCTCTGGCTGCTATCAGCATAGCTCCATCTGGCTTGTCAACAGGAATATGAAGCAGGGAGAGTGTGTCTACCCCCTCCAGGGAGGAAGACAGGAGGTAGGTCCCAGAATCCTCAGAAGGCCATGCCTACACAGAGGCATGATTGTCTATGACCTGATTGACAGGCTAGACTCCACCCCTTCACTCAAGTTGACAGGAGATTATGGAGCTGCCACACACAGCAATCCTGTGAAAGAGGTAATGTCTGTCCACACTTCCATTTTACTGACAAGGAAACTGAGCCTTAGAGAGGTTAAGTCACTGTGTAAAGTGGCACAGCCAGGGTTCTACCAGGTGGTGTGATGCCAGGTCTGTTTTAAGCTGCACCTCATTTGTCATTGTTTGAAGAAAATGGGATTCCCTCTGGCTCCCAAGACTGACTGCCACAAGGCAGAGGTCCGACATACCCTACCCTCCAACCTTTCTATCAAGTCTGAGGGCAACTGCCCCTCACATACCTCTTTACTCTGTCTGCCATAGAATTCTCCACTTTTCACTGGGTTAAATAATCCATTACAATGTCCATTCAGAATTCACAGGCAATGCTCATGATGATGGGGCTTCTTAGGGAAGTTAACAAGTTACAACTCAGGTAAGAAATGCTCAGGCTTCAGTTGTGCAGTCCTGTTGGTTTCTTCTTTGCCATGTCCACGGGCAGGACTGTCTCTGGCCCGCAGCCTCTTGACTTGGCCTGTGAGCCCTGCTCAGAAAATGCTCTCCCTCTCTGCCATGGAGTCAATGCCGACTCATAGCAACCCCTTGTGGGTTTCCAAGACTACAGCTGTTTATGGGAGTAGAAACCCAGTCTTTCTCCTGCAGAGCTGCTAATGGTTTGGGACTGTGGACCTTTTGGATTGCAGCCCAAGGCGAACCACTATACAACCAGGGCTCCATCAGACAATGCTACAAGGCGTTTTTTTTTAAGACTGCTAATAAATATCCAAAGTGGCTACCACTCTGCCAAAAGCCTGTCTGAAAGGCCTCAACAGTGGGCTTTGTGGGTTAGCAAAACCCAACTTCCCCAATTAAGTGCCCAGACAGACCTCACGCCACAAGCCAGTCCAAGGCCCTCAGCTTTACTTGCTTTGTAGGCATTGAAGTTCACAGCTCTAGCTTATACTCTGGCACCTGATTCTGCTGCTATGGCCCTATTATTACTCCTATTTCATACCCAGGGTGCAAATCAACTGGTAATTTGGGGAACCTGTCAAGCAGAGGCCTCTTAATTAAATGTATGAGATGAATGAATGTGCGGAAACCACAGCTGTGATGGCCACCCCTGCCACTTCTCTGGGGTCCATACCTTGAATCAGAGTCTTAGGGACTGAGAAGCTCAGTTATTTAAACTTCCAGATTTTGAATTGGGTAGCTATGGTTGCGTCTCAGTTTGAGGATTGCCTTGACTTTCCAGTGTCAAGAAAAACGTGTTTTCTTGGGTCACTGTGAGACGAAAGGGCTGTTGAGTGGGACAAGGCTGAAGGACACGATGCTGAAGGGCTTGGAGGGGGCAGCTGAGAGTGTGTCTCCAAATTTCGTGAAGTGTCAGTGCACAACTCATTGTATGACCAGCTCCTTGGCTAAACAGAGGCTTCGGGATGCTGTATTTACTTCTACCGATTTCAGGCAAGAGCCAGGCTCATCAGAGCTGTCATGGGTGTCACACGATGGAAACAATGAGGCCCCTGACCTCTTGACAGAAATAACCTCTAAATGCAGTCTGACCAGCGCCAGTGAGGTGTGACTCTGCATGATGCCTTTCTCTGTTTCCCTAGGCAGCCAGGATTGCTTCCTTCCAGCGGCATCGTTTCTGAAGAAGAGGCTGGTGAGGAGGCCAGGCTACATGAGAGCTGCCACCGGACCGCAGACCGGGCTTTCCCCTCCTGTCGTGGGCACCCCGCTTCATGCTCCGGACACAGTCTGCAGCGAGGAGAACCACACTGAGTCCAGGGCCAGGCATTGCGGACTCTTCCTCGGCGGCCTGGCTGTGGCCTCTGGGGGCCAGCCAGGCCCAGCTCTGAGCTCTGCGAAGGGAGACTTCTACTTCAAGATTCAGTCCAGAACGGATCCCACACTGTCCGACAGGCTTCCCGGGCCCTGCAGGCCTGGGCATGTGGGGTGCCTTATGGACGGACCTGGAGTTCCTGGACCAGCCCATGAAGTGGCCTCTGATGAAGGAGCAAGGGACATCTGTGGACAGGAGGACAGCAACCGCAGCAGCCAGGGCAGTGGCCTCCAGGTCTCCTCAGCCTCTCCCTGCTCTCATGATGCCTTTACCTCAAGATTCAGCTTTATCCAACTCTCCCTGGGCTCTTGGGGGGGACATGGGAGAGGAGAAATCTGCCCACCATCTAGAGAGGCCGAACCTCTTGGCCAGAAGCCCACCGACATGAGACCCAAAGCTGCCAGCCTGCACAGGACCCAGGAGGACCCGGGGCTTCTCTCCAGGCCACTGTATCCCAAGGTGACGCAAGAGCTGGAGGACGGTGCCAGGGCCACAGGGAGCAACCCCAGCTCAGGAAGAGAGACTCTTCCATCACTTGATGGGGATTCTGCCCCATCTTGCTCCTTGGCATCTGGCCCCATTGGTTCGGAGGCCACCATTTTGGGGATTACTCCGAGCTGGGACCCGCTGCTCAAGAAGTATGAACCTGCCCTTCGTGACTGCCTGCTCAGCAACCAGAAACAATTAAAGGTTGGTGTCCTCTCAGTCTCTGGGGTCCAGGGACTGTCAAAAGCTCAAAATAGGGACTGGACAGTAGGCAGGAAATGACTGGGTGCTGTGGTTGTCTGACTCCCCCCGCCTCCCCAGAAGCTGAGCAGCAGCTTTTGTGACCAGCTATAGAAATGATGATCCTGCACTTTAGTTTCTTCTATTTTGGCTTGGACACAGATCTTGGATGCTCAGATGTATTCCCTCTTAGGTCTCAAGCCTTTCTATAGTCCCTGGCCTAGGTAGTACATGGTCAGCTCGTCCGTGTAGCTCTTTGCTTTGGCCTAGGGAACTGGAGGTAGATTTCAAGCGGTATTGGCTTTCTTAGAGCCTGTACCATTCCTTTGGCCAGAATCCCCTGGCCTCCTCATCACTGCCCTTTCTCTCCCTCTTCACATCTCATGAACATCACTGTTGCTGCTCTAGTTCAAGTCCTCCTTATTTTTAACCTGGATTTTGCAAGAGATTTCTCTCGTTTCTCACCTGTCCAGTTCACCCTTCTTGTGACCAATAGCATTGTATTCCTGCAACAGAGGTTGGATGATGTCATCCCTTGGTTTAAAAACTTTCGTAGTTTATTGCTGTCCCAGCATAACATCTGACAACCAGGACCTTTCCCAGCATGCTCCTGGCCTGCCTGAAACTCCTTACCTTTGGGTGCTCCAATCCTCTGGAGCTAAGTGTCAGTTTTGTAGAATCGAGGGGAAGAAAGGCCCAAACCTCAGTGCCTTTGGTCATGGTCTTTCCCTAGACTAGAATGACCTTCTCACCCGTTCTACCTGTGTAATTCTCCCTGCTTATCCCTTTGGATGTAACACCAGTGCTATTTACTCATGAGCTATTTTCTGCCTGCTCTCGACTTAATAAGGAACTTTGGTAAAATGGTAGGTAAGCACTTGGCTGCTAGCTGAAGGCTTGGTGATTCCAACCTATCAACTGCTTTGTGGCAGTAGGTGTGGCAGTCTGTTTCTGGAAAGGTTATGGGGTTGGTACTCTGTGGGGGAAGTTCTACTCTGGCCTATGAATCAGAATTGACCCAAAGACAATAGAGATTTTGGTTTCTAGGCCCAATGTTTTCCTTATTCCAGTTTGCTTCCACAGTCCTCCGGACATGTCCCTAGTATACAATCACATTTCATAAAAAGTTGTGGGGCCTAGTTCTCCATTTGACCACAATGGTAGAGAACCTCTTGATGCCTTTGGATGCCTGATGCCTAGTGTACTCATTGGGTCTTAGCAGGTGTTTGATTAATAATTCTTTTAGTAAAAAAAATGCTCTTATTAAGATGGGCCATGATTAATCCTTAGTTGGCACAGGTTTGGATTGAATGTGCAAAAAACAATCTCAGGGCCAGATTCACAAAGAACAAACAATAGTGGATATTTGCATGATTATGGTTTTCCACCTCTCACCGACCAGTTATTAACACTTTATTTCAGAGCCTTAAAAACTTCTAGCTATTATATATGTACATATTCCTCTATCTTAAAAAAATTGAGTTTTTGACTCAAATATGGAAAAAGTCTAGCAAAGTTTTGTTATAATTAGTACTTGTCTTTTTCCCAAATAACCTCATAAAATAGAAACTTGCTTTGGAAGTAATTCTGCTAATTGTGCCTCACTTTTCTCACTGCTCTCGACTCAATAAGAAACTTTGGTGATATGGTAGGTAAGCACTTATTTCCTCTTATCAAGGTAGGTCATGTCATTTCGGAGAACAAAGCCCGAGCAGACAGGTATCTTTGGTGCCAATTCCCTGAGTTATCAGATCATTTGAGGCCCCAGGAGTTAGAATTACCAGGGGCTGTAGTTATGGAAAGGAGCCTTGGTGGTAGTGTGGGCTAGGCAGCGAACCTCAAGGTCAACAGTTCAAACTTACAAGCTGCTCCCTGAGAGAAAGATGAGGCAGTCAGCTTCTGTAAAGATTTACAGGTTTGAAAATCCCATGGAGCTTGTCTATATTCTGTCCTGTAGGGTTACTGTGAGTCAGAATTAACTCAATGCCAATGGTGGTGGTGGTGGTTGTTGTTGCTGTGGAAGGAACTCTAGTGGTTCAGTGGTTAAATGTTCAGCTACTAACCCCAAAGTCAGCAGTTTGAAAACTCCATGCTCCATGGAGGAAAGGTGTGTCAATGTCTTGTTGTGAAGATTACAGGTTACGGAACTCTATGGAGCTATTCTATGCTATCTTTTAGGGTCATTATGAGTCAGAATCCACTTTACAGCAGCAGATTTGTTTTCTTCCCACAGTTCACATTAAATATATATCTTGTCATGAATGGCAGGATCTAGATACAGTTTATCTGGAGTTTAAGTATCTTTGTCTATGATAATTGAATTTCTGAATAAGAGAAAACGTGATCGCCTGCTTTAATCAGTTGAACATTTATCATGCGGGAGAGGAATGAACTTTTTTCAGTATCGTGCAGGTGACAGTGCATAGGAATTGTAGGAAGGCAGGTTTTATTTCAATACCAGAAGGAAGCTGCTGACAGAGGAGTTCTTGAGGTGTGGGCTGTGTGTGTTCACACAGAGGCCTCAGGTTGCTGCTTGTGGCTATAACTGAGATCTTTAGGGTTGAGATGATGTCATTCAAAAGGATCTTTTAAATGACTAAGATTTTAATGTTCTGTGGCCTTTAAATATTACATTCTAATTGTTTTGTTTTTACTTCCTTTACCTTCTGGCAATGTGGATTCAGCACTGGAATGCTAACTTAAAGTTGGTGGTTCAAGTCCACCAGTTGCTCCGTGGGAAAAAGATTAGATTTCTTGTGCTTTGGAAACTCAATGGAGCAGTTTGTTCTGTTCTGCTTTATAGGACCGCCACGAATCAGAATTTGCAATGGATTTTGTTTTGTTATTCTTCTTCTTAAATAGGAATGCAAAAATCAGAAATTTAATATTTCTCATTCACTGCCATTGAGTCAAGGCTGACTCACAGTGACCCCTGTGGGTTTCTGAGACTGTAACTGTTTACAGGAGTAGAAAGCCCAGTGTTTGAACTGCTGACCATGCCGATCGCTTTCCAACTCATAACCACTACACCATCCAACTTCCATTTAACATTTAACTCCCTTTAAAGTATGTGCATTTTATACTGTTTAGAAATAGCCACTTAGGAATATTACCAGGAATTGAATGGGTCCAGGCACTGGAGATCAAAGGAACTGCTGGCTGGGCATGTAGATGGGATAAGTGCGAAGGGCCCAGGAGGCAGACCCACCCCCGGCTGTCAAAGCTGGGGAAAAAGGAAAGACATTGCCTGTCACTAAATGCGCCTCGGAGGCTGTACTTCCAGCAAAGGTGGACATCAAACTGAACTCAGAGCCCTGTTACAGGGATGTTTTCCAGGAGAGGGTAGAGCGGATGAGCATTGGCTGGAAATGGATTTTTCTCTGACCTCTTCTAGGTTCCATTGCTTCAGCTCTATTAAGTGTTGGAGATCACTGTAGTTTGGATATAGTGATGTTAATGTAACAGCTTCGTATGCCAATTCAATTCTTTACATAGGCTTTTTCCGTCCCTGATACACAGGGCTAAGTTACTAGTAAAATTCACCCTTGCAATATTGAGTAATTTAAAGTCAATGTGGTTAATTGAATTTATTCTGAAGGAATTTACTATTAGTACTATGCTTTGAATAAGGAGCCCTAGTGATGTAGTGGTTATGTGTTGGGTTAGAATAGTACTTGAGGTTAGCAACCTCAAGGTTTGTAGTTTGAAACCACCAGCCACTCCAGGAGAAAAATGAAGCTTGTTTACCCCTGTAAAGATTGTCAGTCTCAATGGGTGCATAAGCAAATGTGGTGAAGAAAGCTGATGGTGCC